GCCCGCGCAGCTTGGCGTCTACCAGCGGCTCCAGTGCTGTGACCTGCCAGTACCAGCTTCAGACCGGGCCTCTCCGCGGCACTCTGTGCCGCCGCCCGCACCCGACCGCCCACTGTTTCCGCCGCCTCGACGATCTTTTTCGTCGTCGCTTTGGCCCGGCCCCGGACCTCCCTGACTGGCACAGCCTGCTCCGCCAGGGCGTGCAGATCTTTGAGTTAGACATGGATCAGATAGGTGCTGCTTTGCATGCTTTGTATGCTGACGCTTCTAGTGTTGATGGATCTTACTACCATGTGTACTCTAGTTTAGGTGTTTCACCCTTGTGTAGCTTAGCTTCCCCTGCTGCGACAGGCGTAGGACTGCCTAGGTTGCCTAGTCTAGTCGCTGCACCGGCTCCGTCCGCGGCCTCCGCCACTGCGTCGCTGTCCTTCACTCTCGACTCTGGTGCTTCTGCCTGCTTCTTCCGCGACCGTTCCACGCTCACGCCGCTTGCTGCACCTGCTGTTGTCTCTCTCGCTGACCCCTCTGCGGGTCCGGTCGTCGCGCGCAGTTCTACGTCCCTTCCCTGTCCGGCAGTTCCCTCGGGCTCCCTTACTGGCCTCCACGTTCCCTCGTTCTCCAGGAACCTGGTTGGTGTCGGCTGTCTCCAGGACCTCGGCGTCACCACCACGTTCCCCGGGCACGAGCGGTTCGCTGTCTGTTCTGAGGCTGTCTCAGGTTCCCCCCTTGCGACGTTCCCCCGGGACCCGGTGTCCGGTCTGTTTACCCTACACACCGCTTCCCCCCCGGTTGGTGCGTCCTCCCAGGTCGCTGCAGCTTGCTCGTGTCGGTCCCTCACTCACCCCTCCCTTCTCTGGCACCACCGCTTAGGTCACCCTGCTCTCCCGCGTCTGCGTCACATGTCCCAGCACGGTCTTGTCTTAGGTCTCCCCGCGTCGCTCCCTGCCCTTCCTCCCTCGACTGCGCCACCGTGCACGCCTTGCGTCGAGGGTCGGCTCCGCCGTGCTCCTCACTCCTCCTCGCTGCGTCCTGCTACTGCCCCCCTTCAGACCCTGCACTTGGACGTTTGGGGCCCTGCCCCCGTCCCCGGACCGCGCGGTGAGCGCTACTTCCTTGTGCTCGTTGACGACTACACGCGCTACACCACGGTGTTTCCCCTGGAGCGGAAGGCCGACGTGCCCGACGTTCTTCTCCCGTGGGTTGTAGCTGCGCGTCTCCACCGCGGTCTCCCCGTGTTGTGTCTCCACTCCGACCGTGGCGGCGAGTTCGCCTCTGGTCGGCTTGGACAGTTCTGTCGTGCGGAGGGCATCACCCAGTCGTACACGTTGCCGGACTCGCCACAGCAGAATGGGGTTGCTGAGCGCCGCATCGGCTTGGTCATGGAGGTCGCCCGTACCTCCATGATCCATGCCGATGCCCCCCATTTTCTGTGGCCGTTCGCTGTTCGCTACGCGGCTCACCAGCTTAACCTGTGGCCACGCTCCCAGCGGCCGCAGGTTTCGCCGACCCTCCTTTGGACCGGGTCCCCCGGTGACGCGTCTGCGTTCCACGTCTGGGGCTGCCTTGCTCACGTTCGTGCCTCTGGCACGGACAAGCTCACTGCCCGCACTGTCCCCTGTGTCTTCCTCGGTTTCCCCCTGGACTCGTCTGACTGGCTTTTCTACCACCCGCCGTCTCACCGCTTCCTCCACTCTCGTGACGTCACCTTTGACGAGTCCGTCTCCTTCTACCGCCGCTTCCCTCACCGAGGTCTCCCAGTTGCCCCCCCCCTTTTCCTTGCTCCCTCTCCCCCGGTAGCCCCTGCCCCTCTCCCGCCTCGTCCTGCCCCGTCTGGTGTCTCCCACGTCACTCCCCTCCCGTCGGTTGTCCCCGTTGAGGAGTCTGCTGACTCTGGTGGTACCCCCGGTCCGTCCTTGCCGCGTCCCCCTTCCCCAGTGCCTCCGCCCCCACTGTCGCAGTCGCCGACCCCGCTGCCGCCGCCGTCGCCGTCGCCGCCGCAGCCGTCGCCGCTGTCGCCGCCACTGCCGCCGCTGCTCTCGGCCCCTGGGGGTGCTGGTGTGGAGGAGGGTGTTCGTCCTGCGGCTTCTGGGGGTGCTGCTGGTGTTGGAGGGGGTTCTCGCTCTTGGGGTGTTGGTTCTGGGGTGCTGCTGTTGAGTGTTCTGCCGACGGTCGTTCTGCCTCTGCTGGTCCGAGAGTTCCGGCCCAGCCGTCGTCGCCGCCACAGCAGCCGTCGCCGCCGGTTTCCGCTCTCCGCCTGCTCGGCCTTCCCTCCCCGGACCGCGCGCCGGTGTCTCCCCCACCGCCTCCTGACCTCCCTGTCTACGGTCCTGTGTTCCCGCCGCCAGACTCGTCTCCGGCCCGTCTTCCTCCTCGTTCCCCTCCTGTGTCTCCTCCGCTGTCCCCTGACCCTACCCCTCCGTCTCACGTTTGGGCTCGCCGTCCCTCCCGTGCTCGTCCCGTCTCTCCTGTCCTGCCCACCCACCCTATGTTGCTCCGTTCCCACTCGTCTCGTCCTCCCCTCCTCCCGTCCCCTCCTCCCTCGTCCCTTGCTGTTGCACCTCCTCCGTTCTCTGACTACCTCCGTGCTGCTCGTCCCCTTGTCCCTCGGGTCCTTGCCTCTCTTGTTACCGACCCTGCTGTTCCTGTCTCGCGCCTTGACGCGCTTGTCGCTGCTGTCGCTGACTTCGCTTCTACCCGCCGCCTTGACTACGCTACCGCTCTGGTCTCTGACCCTGCCCGTCCTCTGTCCGTCGGGGGTGCTCCTGCCCTTGGCAGTGACGTCCTAGAGGACAGGCAGTACGAGCTCGCTTTCCTTTCCAAGGCTGCTCCCCATCTCTGCTCCATGCTGTTAGTCCCTGAGGGTGACCCAGACGCCTTCGACATCCCGACCCCTCGCACCTACGCTGAGGCCACCTCGGGACCTTGGGCCTCTCAGTGGATAGCTGCCATGGAGCAGGAGATGGCATCTTGGAGATCCACCGGCACTTACGTCGACGCAGTTCCCCCGCCTGGGGTGAACGTAGTCGATGGTCGGTGGCTCTTCAAGGTGAAGCGCCCCCCTGGAGAGCCGCCTGTCTTCAAGGCGCGCTACGTGGCCAGAGGTTTCAGTCAGCGCGAGGGGGTTGACTTCTTCCAGACCTTCGCCCCGACCCCGAAGATGACCACTCTTCGGGCGCTGCTACACGTAGCAGCACAGCGTGACTACGAGCTTCACTCTCTCGACTTCTCTACTGCCTTTCTTCAGGGCAGCCTACACGAGCAGGTCTACCTGCGCCGACCACAGGGCTTCACTGGTACCTTCCCTCCTGGGACCCAGTGGCTTCTCAGGCGCCCGGTCTACGGCCTGCGTCAGGCTCCCCGCGAGTGGCACGACACGCTACGTGCCACGTTAGCAGACCTGCAGTTCTTTCCGTCCTCTGCTGACCCTTCACTGTTTGTGCGTTCCGGCCAGACTCCGTTCTACATCCTTGTCTACGTAGACGACCTGGTCTTCGCTACTCCTGACAGGGACGCACTGGCCTCTGTGAAGGCTGAGCTGCTGAAGAGACACACCTGCACTGACCTTGGAGAGCTGCGTCGCTATCTTGGCCTGCAGATCTCTAGGGACAGAGCAGCACGCACCATCACTCTGACCCAGTCACACTTGGTGCGTCAGGTCCTTCAGAGGTTCGGTCTTCAGTTCTCCTCCGCACAGCCCACACCTCTACCCGTAGACCATGGGCTCTCTGCTCCCGTTCCTGAGGAGCCAGTAGAGCCCAGTGGCCCCTACGCAGAGCTGGTGGGTTGCCTCATGTACCTGATGACTTGCACTCGCCCAGATCTCGCATACCCTCTCAGCATCCTGGCTCGCTTTGTGGCTACAGGCAGACACCGACCTCAGCACTGGTCTGCCGCTAAGAGGGTTTTGCGTTATCTTGCTAGTACATCAGGCATGGGGTTAGTGCTAGGAGGACGCAGGCCAGTGGTCCTTACTGGGCACACAGACGCTTCTTGGGCAGACGACGCTGAGACGCTCAGGTCGTCGCAGGGCTACTGTTTCAGCCTTGGTTCGGGTGCTATCTCTTGGAGATCCACTCGCTCGTCGTCTGTGGCTCAGTCTAGCTGTGAGGCTGAGATCTACGCTGGTGCCATGGCGGCACAGGAGCTCCGCTGGCTGACCTTCTTGCTCACAGACTTAGGTGAGCGGCCTAGCTCTGCCCCGGTCCTGTACGCTGACAACAGGGCCATGATACTCCTGTGTCAGGAGCCTCGGCTTGAGGGCAGAGCGAAGCATATCCAGCTGCGGTACTTCCTCCTGCGCGATCTACAGCAGCGCCGCCAGGCCCGCGTAGTTCACTTGGCCTCAGGTGCCAACACAGCTGATATCTTTACTAAGGCGCTTGCGCCTAAAGATCATCAGCGGCACTGTGTACAGCTTGGTCTTGTTCCTATAGCTGCTCCCCTGTTAGGATCCTGATTGTGTACTCTCTATTATATATGCTTGTCAGACTGGCCTTGTGGCCTTACCTCCAGTGGCTGGACTAGTAGTGCCACCCTGGCTTGCTTCAGTTTTGGTTGTATTCTTGCTGACTGGTCTCCAGACCCCTGCCTCAGTGGTTGGACTAGTAGTGCCGCCCTGAGCTGTTTGCTTCTTGTTTAGTTTCACCCCTTGTCTAGCCTAGGGGGTGTGTCAACTTATACATATTATCTATGTAGAAGTTATAGGCTAGACTGAGGTATGCTTCTAGTGAGTACAACCAACTAGTATTTGTTCTAGGTTTCCACCTCTAGTAATTATTCGTTTCTACGTTAACAATAGGGTCACCTCTTAGAGGGTACAATTCTTAGGTATATCTTTCTGTACTCTCTCACTAGTTATCATTCACTTCTCCATTTTGATAAAAATAACCCGCATGATAGCATTATTACAGATTTTACAGTGATGCATAATGGCTTGCAAAATTCCTAGCTCTTTCCACAATTGAATTCTGTTATGTTATCTATGAAATGCTTTTTCTTGAAAGAATTCGTGTTTATTATTTCTAGGACGAAACACTCTTACATCTCGACTGTTCCTCCTTCCTCAACGTCCCTGCCTTGTGTCAGTGCGAATCTGCTTCCCTCCCTCTCTGCCGCTCTACCTCCTCCAGTTCCCTGCCTGCCGCCATCCGTCCATTGGGTATGAATCCATTTCTCAGAGCCAATTCGCGTGCGCGCTTCGCCTTTTCGCATGCTGAGCTGACGGCGGCTGCATCATAGCCTGGATAATCTGTGGTCCACACTTCACGCATCTTTAGTTCCCTCTACTTTTCTCTCCAAGCGACCACTACAGTTGGAACCCACTGTTTCGAGCCTGTTTTCCTGCCGTTGCTCGGCGGGATGCACTCCCAACCATCGATTTTTTTTGTTTAGCGACGCGTCGACCTGGTAGCGCAGCGAATCTTTTCTGGTTTTGGGGGGGCCTTGTGCCGTGTCCGGTTGGTTTGTCTGGTTGTTGGAAACCCCACCGCGAGTTGGGTTGCGAACTTGCGAACCCCAGTTGGTTGAGTTGGAAGAGCCCCATTCCACCGCGAGCAGCAGGCCCTTGGGAATGCCGATGCCAGTGTAATCACCGCTGCCTCGTTTTCCACCCCACCACGCGAGCACTGCCTCGCATTTCACTCACCAGCCTCCCATTTTCTTCTCCTAGCCACGGACGTTGCTCACATTTTCGTCCCAGCCACGAAGCCTTTGCTCGCTCCTCCATCCGTCATTTCTCGCCTTCGACCAACATCGTTTTCACGGTTTGCTGTAGTTCGGCGTATAACTCGGTCGTCTGGCGTTTGACACGGTCGTTCGGCGATTTACCACGATGTACTCCGTGGTTCGGCTTTACAAGGTCGTCCGGCGTTAAACTCCTTCGTTCTTCGATTGACTCGGTTGTGCACCGAAGGCTGGCGTTTCGTGCCGTCGTGCGTCTTCCGCTGCTGCTCTGCTTACCAGCGACCAGCGACTGCTGCTGCTTCGTCTGCTGCGGCGGCGGCTGCAGCAGAGTTGCTGACTTGCGTCACCTGCTCCGTCATGCGCGGCGATTATTTCGCGTCAATCCATTATTTCTCCGACGAATTTGCGCCACCAGGTAATGATCGCCGATTTTGCGTTTGATTTCGCTTTCCTGTAACTCGTGCTTCGTGCCTAACTCGCCTTGCATCCGTCTATCCGCAGGTTCTCGAGTTGCCGTCGCCGCTCAACACCCCAAGCGGAACGACGCGGCCTGTTTTGGCCGCAGCCTGCTTCGATCGCAACGTGCTTTTATCGCAACCCTGTGTTGATCGCAACCTTCCGCGATCGCACCCGCCTGCCTTGTAAGTGGTGAAGAGGAGCTAGAGGGGGGGCGAGTAGCGTCCGCAGCGTCAGAGTCTGTTGCGCGCTGCTTCGAGTCGTCGCCTCCATCGTTCCTGCTCCTAACCCGCTCCCTCTCCCGTTTTTTATCTCTGCGTTTCTGAGTGTGCATGCGGACTCTCTCACGCCTCTCGCTCGGACTCGGACTTGGAGACTCCGACGAGTTTTCCACCCACCGTTTCGACCGCGAGCGACGGCGCGCCTTCACGTCGCTGATGCGTTAACGCGCGTGCCTATGGCGGTTGTCAACCTGGCAACGCCGATTCGTGCGCACGAGACTCACTCTGGCGGGCCGCCATTCGTCGCGGGGGTGAATGCCGGTGGTAAGTGGCGGGTCTAAGCTAGTGGGGGGGGGCGAGTAGGCGTCCGCCGCATAGCGCGTCTCGGGTCCGTTTCGTGCTTCGAGTCGGCTCTGCCCTTGCTGCGACTAACGCACTGTCCTCTTTCGTGCCGTATCTTCTGTGTGCTGTGTTTGTGTGCGACTTCCTGTGGTGCATGTGGTGTTTTTCCCTGGTGGAGCCATTTACGCGAAGCCAACCTCCCAACTCCGTTTGTGTGCGACCAGCTGCGGTGTGCGACGCTGTGCGGTTTGTGACCTGTGCGGTGTGCGACGGAGTGACGACCAATTTGCGATTTCAACACGTGGAGGGGCGAACAAACCTTTGGGCGACCGCTGGACAAGGTTCGTTTTCCACCCTGAGTTCGCCAATGTCGTTTCGCAAGTCTCGTTTTGCCAAACCGATTTCGCGAAACCGATTTCTATGCTCAAACCTCTCAATTTTCGTCTCAGCAATTCACCTCAAACCAGTCGTGGTACCTTCCGCCGTTTCCGAGCCGCGTTATTGTCACACGCGATTCCCTAATCCTTCGTTATTGCGATGTTTCCTGTGTTCAGATGCGAGCGACTAACGAAACTCGGCACCATGCCGTAGCGTCGTCGCATGGCGAGCTGGTCGCGTGTCATCTCACAGCGAAAACGTCGTCCGCGCGTCGTCGCATGGCGAAATAGAAGTTCGCGCCCAGTCGCACAGCGAGACTGTCGTCGCGCATCGTCGCACGGCGCGATGGTCGTTCGCATGTCGTCTGCGCCCCGCGCGTCGTTGCTCGCGCACGTCTGCAACGCCAGCAGCGCGGCACGTGGTGAGGTGAGAGCACGCAACCAGCTGGAGGGGGGGCGAGCAGGTCACTGTCTAGGTCGCCGCTGCACCTGGTAAGTGCGTTTCCAGTCTCGTCCGCTCTTCGCTTGAGTCTGCGTCTTTCCTCTTGCTGGCACTAACTAGTGCTTCTCTTGCCGCTTGTCTGCCCTTCCCCTGCTCCTTGGGGGGATGGGGGGGGGATACTCCTCCCCCGCCCCTCGCTCCCCCCCCCCCACCCCTCTTCCCCCTCTCGCTCCCCCCCTCCCCTGCAGTACTGGCGCCTACCGGCAGCCATGGGAGCAGCGCGTACAGATGCACGGGGGGGTATCTGGGGTGCGCTTGCCTGCAAGGGGGAGCATGGCAGCAGTGGCAGCAGCAGCGCGTGCTGATGCAAGGGAAGGGATTGTCTGGGGTGGGCTTACCTGCAACAGGTGAGCGCCCTTTTTAGCTGCTTCTGCACGTTCTGTCAGCCTGCCCTCTGTCAGTCTGCGTTCTGTCAGTCTGCTTTCTGTCAGTCTACGTTCTGTTAGTTTGCTTTGCTGTCAGTTGCCATCCGCTGCTCACTCTTCCCCTCCTTTCCCATGCCTTCGCTCCCATGCCCATGCACGGCCCATGCACGTGCCGTGGCAGCAACAAGTTGGCTGCACACATAGAGGGAGGGAGGGAGGGCAGGAGGGAGGGCAGGAGGGAGGGGGGCATCGAGTTGGCTCGAAGGACAGGAGGCAGAGGATGGTGGGAGGAGGAGAGGGATGGCAGGCGGAGGTAAGGTGGAGGAGCCTGGAGGGAGGGGATGGCAGACTGCCGTGCTTCAGCATCCATCCAGCTAAGCTCCCTTGCCTCCCTTGACCTAACCTTCCCCTTGTTGCTGCGTCTAGTATGCCTTTCTCTCTCAAAATGCTGCCACTGGCTGGGGCGCTCACAAGCCACAGACCCCCCTCCCTTACTGCAGGTAAACCCCCCAGGTTAAGCCCCCCTAAAGCCTACAGCCCCCTGAAGTTGCCTTGGGGTCTGTGGCTTGTGTCCATGTCTCCACCAGTGGCACCCTCCCTACTTCCTCTCCTCTCTGCATTGCATTGCTCTCAATTTCCATGTGCCTTCCACTCCCTCCTTCCTCTCCCCCACCTGGACTTAACTGCCCCTTTGTGTCTACCTCTCCCCTCGCCCCGACTCCCTCCCTCCCACCCTTCCCCCCACCCCTCTCCCCATCGGCCAGCAGGGCCTCTTCTGGCGGATCTACAAGCGCCTGAGGCTTTGGCTGCTGCAGCGGCAGAGGGAGCAAGGGGCAGCAGGCGAGCACTTGAGTGGCGTCAAGGCCTCGAGCAAGCAGCCAGATAAGTACCCTCGCCTCCCTGCACCCACCCTTGCACCCACTCTTGCAACCACCCTTGCCTTTCACAGCACGACTTGCCCCTGTTTCTGTTTCTGTCAATCGTTTTCTTCCCTTTAACAGGGCCACTGGTAGCAGTGCAGCGAACAAGCCACAGACCCCCAGCCTAATTGCAGGTATTGCAGGTATCTCCCCCCCCCCCAGGTATTTAAGGTTCTCAGGTCAAGCCAAGCCCTCCCTGGGGTCTGTGGCTTCTAGCTGAGACTCTACCAGTGGCCCCCTCCCACCGTCCTCTCCCTTATGCGTTGCTTGCACACTTCAGTTCTCTCATCTGCCTTCCACTCTCGCCTGGACCTAACTACCTCTCCTCTCCCCTCCCCTCCCCCCCACACCCCCCTTCCTCTCCCCCTTTCCCCGTCCCGCCTTCCCCCTCCCTCCTCTCCCTTCCCACCCCCCATCAGGGCTTCTGCTGGCGGATTAGCAAGCGCCAGTGCAGGGAGCAGAGGGTGTGGAGGGAGTGGAGGGAGTGGAGGGAGCAGAGGGAGCAGGGCAGAGGACTCGAGCAAGTAACCAGTTAAGTACCCTTGAATCCCTGCACCCACCCCTGCATTTCACAGCATGCCCCTGCTTCTGTCTCTGTTTCAATCTCTATTTCTGTCATTCGTTTGATTCCCTTCAAACCGTGCCGCTGGTAGCAGTGCAGTGAACAAGCCACAGGCCCCTCCCCTCCTGACTGTAGGTGTTGCAGGTATACCTCCCTCGGGTATTATAGGTATACCCCCCTCAGGTATTCAGGTATACCCCTCAGGTCAAGCCACGCCCCCTCTTGGGTCTGTGGCTTCCAGCTGGGACTCTACCAGTGGCCTCCTCCCTTCTTCCTCTCCCTGGTGCGTTGCTTGCACATCTCTCATCTCCCTTCCACCCTCTCCTCCGCCTAACTACCTCTCTCTCCCTCCCCCCCCGCCCCTCTCCCCTCCCCCCCTCCCCCACCCCCCCTTCCCCTAACAGGCCTCTGCTGGCGGATCTGCAAGCGCCTGTGCAGTGGCTGCTGTGACTGCAGGGGGAGGGGAGGGGCGTGAAGTGGGTGCTGTGAAGCGCTTGAGTGGCGGGAAACAGGGAGGGCTGGGGGTGCCAGCTGGGAGCAGACAAGCAGCTGCTACAGCTAAGTAAGTACCCACTCCACTCTCCTCCTTTCGCCGTTTGACTGCTTTCACTGGTTTTTTTTTGGCTCTGTGGAACACTCTGTCTTGCGCCCACTCATGCTTCTGCACCCCGTCATTCCATCCCTGCTTCCTGCCTCCTCTCTTGAAAGTGAACCACTTGCAGCAGCAGCCTAGGCCACATGGTGCAGACCCCCTATTCCAGGTGCCCTCCCCCCCAAAGGTTAAGCCTACCTATATAATATATATCTCCCCCCCCCCCCTTTAACCCCCCCTCCCCCCCCCCCCCCCCCGGGGTCTGCACCGTGTGCCTAAGTGCTGCTCCAGTGGTCTTTCTGCTGCTATCACCTGCCACCCCACCCATGTACACCTCTCATGCTTTTACCCTTGGCCGCCTCCTCACTGCTCCACAGTTTTTCCTCTTGCTGCTTGAGGGGAGGGGCGTGGGGGTCAACACCGCCACTTCCCCGCACCCGTCCCCTTGTGGCCGTGCAGGTGCATGCACACGGGACGCTGGGAGAAACGCTGCCATGAGGGAGAGTATCTGGGGTGGGGTTGGCCTCTCAAGGTAAGCCCCGTGTCACCAACCCCTCTTGCTGCTGCAGACTCTCTGTTGCTTCACTGCCTTTCTCTGCTTTCCCTTTCATGCCTTGGCCTTCTGTTTATTCCAACCCTCCGTCTTTGTTCCTGTGAAAGTCCTGCACTAACGTGTTTTCTGTTTGCCTCCCCCCCCCTGCCCCCACCAGGTGACTTGGGGTCATTTGAAGTCTGCAGCAGAGGAAGCTGAGCAGCTGACAGCAGCAGCAGCAGCAGCAGCAGCAGCAGCAGCAGCAGCAGCAGCAGCAGCAGCAGCATTTGGGGGTGGGCGGTTAGAGGGCAGGCTAGGATTAGGAGTGAGAGAGCGAGGTATGGTATCAGGTACAGGTATGGTCGTCTCACCCCCCCCCCCCCGCCCCCCCCCCCTCTCCCTACAGCAAGACAGGTATGGATCTGGAGCCTTGGAGCAAGGGCAGGAGAAAGGAGCCCACCCCGTCTCTCAATCCCTCCCCTCTCCTCTCCCCCATTACCCTTCTCGCAGCAGGAGCACGCCTTGAGGAACGGAAGGTGCAGTCCCCACTCTCACCCCACTCACCCCCCTCCCACCCCACTCACCCCCCGCCCCCCCGCCTCCTCCTCCCTCCCTGTCCCCTTCCCCCAGCAGCATCACGCCTTGAGGAACAGAAGGTGCAGTCCCCACTCTCACCTGCCCTCCCCCCTCCTCAGCAGGTTGCAGCATCACGGTGCTCCCTTCGGCTATGGTAGGTGGAGGTAAGGGGAAACGGGGGGAATGGGATGGTGGGGGGGGGGGAGGGGGGAAGCATAGGAGCAAGCATGCTGCTCACTCCCTTAGGGGCAGCACCCTCTGTGGTTCCTGCCTTCTGGGTCTGGTGTGGTCAGTGGAAAGTGTGTGGCACGGCAGTCGTTCCTCAAGTACCAACACTGGCGTATCGTATAATGGAACCGGTCAGAGCCGTGCG